AGGAAGAGGCAGAAAGAGCTGCACTGCTTGCTCAGGCTGCATCTTTAAAGGAACGGCATGCATTGGAGGAACAGGAGCAACAACTAAAAAGGAGAAGAGAGCAACTTGAGCTGGAAGCTATGCTAGCTGCCTCCAATGCCAAATTGGAAGTGCTGGCCTCTGCCCCTGACATCAGCACCACATCTAATGGAATGAGTTCTTACATGAGTAAAAGCAAAAGAACAGCAAATGTTACTGAGCTCAATCCTATGGCAAAGGAATACAGGCCTGTAAACCACCACCAAGCACAGCAGGGCCAGGATTGGGCATTGCCAATTGGCAATTCACAACCTACAGCTAGGCTAACTCAGCAGGCTAGTCAACAAAGCCAGGCTGGGCTAAACCAAAGGACCGGTTCTCAAATGGACGATCATCATATTTTACCACCACAACCTTTAGGACCCCACTCATTCAATGCTCAGCCAGTAGAGGAACAGCAGCGGGGGAACATCTGTTCCATAATGGAAAGGCAAACCGAAATAACTACTGCATTGGCCCAACAGCAACGCTTCATGTTATTGCCGGCAAGAGAGATTCCCTTATTTGATGGCAATCCTCTTCAATATATTTCATTTATGCGAGCATTTGAGCAGGTAGTGGAGGATAAGGTCAGTCAAAGTGATTGTTTATATTACCTGGAACAATTCACGAGAGGACAGCCACGGGAGCTGGTACGAAGCTGTCAGCACATGGCAGCTGATCTAGGTTATGTTAAAGCAAAGGAGCTGCTTAAACAACACTTTGGCAACGAGTATAAGGTCGCCTCTGCATATATGGAAAAGGTTTTTGCGTGGCCGCCTATAAGGGCAGAAGATGTCAATGCACTGCAGGCCTACTCACTTTTTCTGCGCTCATGCTGTAATGTCATGGAGAACATACAATATATGCAGGAGTTAGACATGACAAGCAACATGAGAACAGTCATGTCTAAGCTCCCGTTCAAGCTGAGGGAGCAATGGAGGTCAGTGGCACATAACATAATGCATACATCTGACCGTAGAGCTCTGTTCAAAGATTTGGTGGAATTCATTGAGAAACATGTCCGTATTCTGTCAGACCCTTTGTTTGGTGATATTCGGGACTCAGCACCAGGAACAGGTGGTGCTAAGGTCGACAGGCTGAAGTCGCAGCCAGGCTCAAGATTTAAAGGAAATAGTTTTGCCACCACCATTGCCCCTGTACATTCAGCAAGAGACTTAGGAGAGAGAAAGGCTGTCTTGCCAGAAAATGGTTCTACTATTAGATCAATTTGCGTGTGTTGTTCGCAAAGTCACTCTTTGGAGGAATGTCTACAGTTCAAAAGGAAGAAGCACCAGGATAAAATAATCTTTCTAAAGGAGAAAGAGCTTTGCTTTGGCTGTTTATGTGCTGGGCACATGAGTCGCAATTGTGGAAAGCGTGCGACCTGTGGGATTTGCGGTCAAGCACATCCTAGTGTGCTTCATGTTGACAGGAGAGACAAAGCCAATGCATACACAGAGCGATCTAAGGATCTTGTGAGACCTAACACCACAGCATCTAAAGAAGCCTGTAGTCGTGTAGGGGTCGGAAGTGATCGCTGCCTCCTTTCCATCTTGCCAGTCCAAGTCAAATCCATCCAAGGAGGCAGAGTAATACAAACCTATGCATTTCTGGACCCCGGCAGTTCAGCCACTTTCTGTTCGGAACATCTCATGCAAAGGCTTGGGTTGTCTGGTAAACAAACACATTTTCTGTTACAAACCATGGGACAGGAAAGGGTCATGCCGGCAAATTTATTGTTTGACTTGGAGGTGTCTAGTATGGATAGTAATGTCTTCTATAAGCTACCAGAAGTCCTCACGCAGAAGAAAATGCCTGTAAGTGCAGACAGTATTGTCTCTGAAGGAGAGTTGGCAAAATGGTCATATTTGGCAAAAGTACAGATTCCCAGCTTAGAGGCTAAGGTTGACCTATTAATTGGAAGCAATGCTCCGAGGATATTGGAACCTTGGGAGGTCATAAATAGCCAAGGGGGAGGACCATACGCAATCAAGACGGTATTGGGGTGGGTCCTTAATGGCCCTTTGCAGTCTAATGACAGCAGTTTGGAGACAGAGGCTCCTTCAGTAGTCGTTAACAGGATTTCCGTGAGACGATTGGAAGAAATGCTACATAGCCAGTACAATCATGATTTTAACGAAAGAGCTACAGAGGACAAAGGCCCTTCAGTAGAAGACATCAAGTTCATGGAAATTATGGAAAATTCTGCAACACTGGACGATGGTCATTACAGTTTGAAGCTGCCCTTTAAAAAGAACAATGTATCTCTGCCCAACAACTTCACTGTAGTAAAGCAAAGGTTGCTCGGGCTGAAAAGGAGGTTCCTTAATAACAAACAGTTTTATGAGGAATACAAAATGAACCTCAACAGGGTGATCAGTCTGGGCTACGCAGAGCAAGTTTCAGAACAGCAGTTGGATCACAGTAGTGGTAGGGTGTGGTATCTTCCGCACCATGGTGTATATCACCCCAAGAAGAGGAGTCTGCGGGTGGTGTTTGACTGTGGTGCGACCTTTAAGGGAACATCTGTGAATCAGCAGCTCTTGCAAGGTCCCAATTTGACCAGTACATTGCTTGGTGTCCTGCTCAGGTTTAGGCTGGAACCTGTAGCAGTTATGGGCGACATACAGGCAATGTTCCATCAGGTCAGAGTTGCAAAGGAGGATAGAGACTTCCTGCGCTTTGTATGGTGGCCTGAGGGAGATCTCAGCAAGGAAGTAGCTGAGTTTCGTATGACTGTCCATCTGTTCGGTGCTGTGTCCTCCCTGAGTTGTGCTAGCTTTGCTCTGAGAAAAACAGCAGCTGATAATCTGAATTTCCAGCTGAAGTTCTGCAAACAGTAAAGGAGAACTTTTATGTGGATGATTGTCTGAAGAGCATGCCCTCTGAAGAAGAAGCTGCCTTTATGGTCAAAAATTTAATTACTCTCTGTCAGGCAGGAGGATTTACTCTGATGAAATGGATTAGTAACAGTCGCACCACACTGCAGACTATTCCAGAGGAATACAGAGCTAAAGATCTGACTGAACTGAATCTGGATAGAGACCAACTTCCTCTTGAGAGAGCTCTTGGCTTGCAATGGTGCATTGAGAGTGATTCATTCAAGTTCAAAATGGAGATCCAGCAGAGGCCAGTCACCAGGAGAGGAATGTTGTCAGTGGCTAGTTCGGTGTACGATCCTCTTGGCTTTGTCGCACCTGTGGTGTTGCCTGCCAAAATCATGCTACAAGAACTTTGCAGAAGAAATTATGGATGGGATGAGACTGTACCACAAGACATCTTGCAACGGTGGTTCAGGTGGTTGGAGGAATTGGATATGCTGTCTGAATTTAAGGTTGATCGGTGCATTAAGCCCCAGGGCTTTGGACAATCAAGACATGCTCAGCTGCATCACTTTGCAGATGCTAGTGAAACAGGATATGGTGCAGTCACATATCTCAGGATGTTGAATGATGGAAATGACATTCATGTTGCATTCCTGATGGGCAAAGCCAGGGTTACACCTTTAAAGACTGTTACTATTCCTCGACTGGAGCTGACTGCTGCTGTGCTTGCCATTCGTGTTGATCTGATGTTGAAGGCTGAGCTGAGATTGCAGTTGCAGCAGTCCATTTTTTGGACCGACAGCACTTCTGTGTTGAAGTATATAAAAAACGAGGATAAACGTTTTCATACGTTTGTGGCCAACAGGGTTTCGACTATAAGAGGAGCCACTAAAACTTCACAATGGCGATACATCAGCTCCAAGGAAAATCCAGCGGATGAGGCATCCAGAGGAGTGAGGGTTGGAGACTTTATTCATGGCCGGAGGTGGATAGAGGGTCCAAGTTTTTTGAGTGAACCAGAAGCTAACTGGACAACAAATGTTGTAGAAACTATCATAGAACCCGATGATCAGGAGGTCAAGAAGGAAGTCACAGTGAATGTTGTGTCTGTGGATGGCTCACATGATGCCACAAACCGGTTACTGACTTACTTCTCAAGTTGGAGTAAGCTCAAGGTGGCAGTAGCCTGGTTACTTAAATGGAAAGCCATTCTGTTGGAAAAATGTCGCAGGAGGAGGGAGGAGAAAGCTGATGGTAAGCAGAGCACGGACAATAATATGCCACGGAGGAGGCAAGGGTTAAAGGACAAGCCTGGAGGGCAAATTTTGTCCATAGATGACCTTTTGGGAGCCGAGCTAGCTATAATTCGATACTGTCAGCAACAGCGATTTGGAGAGGAAATTGCCATGTTGTCAGCTGGGAAATCTACAGTGAGCAGACGTAGTACAATCCACAGGTTGGATCTGCGCTTGGATGATGGGCTTCTCAGAGTTGGAGGGCGGCTGACTAAAAGTTCCTTGCCAGAGTCGATTAAACATCCGCTAATCCTCTCCAAGGATCAAAATGTGGCCACTCTCATCCTCAGGCACATTCATCAGCAGCAGGGCCATAGTGGGCGGAATCACACGCTATCAACACTGCGGAAGAAGTATTGGGTCACTAGAGCCAACTCCGCTGTAAGAAAGGTAATTGCAGAATGTTTCTGTTGCAAGAAATATAATGGAAAGATGCAGGAGCAAAAGATGGCTGATTTGCCAGAGGAAAGGATTCTTCCTGACAAACCACCATTTACCAACGTTGGCATTGATTATTTTGGCCCAATTACAGTGAGGAAAGGACGTGGTACAGACAAGCGCTATGGTGTGATACTAACCTGCTTGGCAAGCAGAGCAATCCATCTCGAAGTGGCTGACTCTTTGAACACTGACGCATGCATCAATGCTCTGCGACGTTTCATCTGTAGAAGAGGTCAAGTTTCTCATATCATATCTGATAATGGAACCAACTTCATAGGAGCAGAGCGAGAACTAAGAGAGGCTCTCGCAGCTTTAGATCATGGAAAAATTCAGGGAGTTCTGCGGCAAAGGGGAGTTAAGTGGAGCTTTAATCCTCCTGCAGGTTCACATCATGGTGGGGTTTGGGAGCGTGTTATCCGCATGGTGAGAAGGATTCTAAGTTCAGTTCTTCAACAGCAGACCCTGAACGATGATGGGCTTCATACAGTTATGTGTGAAGCTGAAGCCATCCTGAACGATCGGCCTGTCACCAAACTCTCAGATGATCCAAATGATTTGGAGCCACTTACTCCCAACCACATTCTTCTGATGAAAGGAAATCCATCATTGCCGCCAGGATTGTTTGAACCACATGACTTGTATTTAAAACGGAGATGGAAGCAAGTCCAGTATATTGCTGAACTTTTTTGGAAACGTTGGGTACGGGAATATCTACCTTTGCTGCAAGAGAGGCAAAAATGGAATGAAACCAGGAGAAACCTAAAGCCTGGAGATATTGTCGTTATAATGGATCCTACTGCCCCACGAGGCTCTTGGCCACTAGGAAGAGTGTTGGAAGCTTTCCGGGATCAAAAGGGATTTGTGCGTTCAGTGAGTCTGCAAACAAAGTCAAGTGTCATTCAACGTCCTGTTACAAAGCTCTGCCTTTTGATTGAGGCTGCAGGTTAAATGGGCAATTTTCAGTGTTAATGTGTGTGAACTCATTGTAACAAATGTTGGATAATATGTTACGTTAGGTTGGTACTGGATCCTTAATTTGGTTTGTTTTGAATTGTAATGTTTGTTAAGCATTCCAATTGGGGGCCGGTGTTGTAGGAGCCATTTCAATGTTTATGTCCAGGTTTGGCCATTAGGTGGCACTAGGGTTATGGCATAGTGATTGGGGCTTATCTACTTAGGCTAGCTGTAATCTAGGACAGGTGTTGCTAGAGGGAAAAGGGCAAACTAGTTTTTGACCGCCACGCGACGGAGGCTGTGGTTGAATGCATGTTAAGTGACTGTTGGTGAAGATGGAATATTGTTCTGTTATGGAAAAAAGGAAATCCTTGTGTAAATCCAATAAACATCTCTCACAACAGAGAAGAAAAGATAACTTTAAGCTTTGTTGTGTCATTGCTCAATCAAGCCAAAGCGACCACGGTAAGCGCGTCAACTATAGCCCACTTTAACCCTCTGCATAACCCTCAGCTTAGCGGTTACACTTATACTACTTCAAGTTTTGCAGCTGATTTGGTCATGTGATTGTAAATTTCCTTATCGACAACAGATAAAACATGTGAGTACGGTGAAGATCTGCAGCTCAGATATGAAGCGCTCTGCTCTCATAATCCTGATGCTCAACAACTTCTGTGCCTTCTCACAAAGTAAGAATGATATTTAAATTTACTAGACTTTAGTTCTAGTTTCTAACATTAAGAATAATTTTATGGAAACATAAACATATGGGTGGTATAAGCATTATGGTGCTCCTGTATATCAAGAATACAAATGCCTGAAAGAAAGCAAAAACATTTTAGTAAGAAGCTGTAATGATAGGACTGTAAACATGCAGTATATTAATCTTGACTTCCATTGTATTGTTTTTCAGTTCCTTGTGAAATTGTCTATTTTGTGGGCTGCTTTGTGATTGGTACAACTGATGTACAGTTTGAGTTTGATGGTGAGGAGATTTTATATGTGGATTTCCCAAAAGAGGAGATTTTCTACACTGTGCCCAGAATTATTAATCCTGATCCAAGTAAAATCTTTGAGGATCAGAATATACTTAGAGATGCTTTGACAAACAAGGACCTTTGTTTATCACTTACTGCAATCTGGGCAGCACAAGAAGAATATCCACAAGAAGAAAAAGGTAAGTTAACCTCAACGTTTATCTCTGTAGTGATGTGATTGATAAATTGCTGATGAAGGATTTTCATTATCTTCTGACCCACTAAAGACCCCCCCTGAGAGCATCGTCTACCTGCAGAAGAAGCTCAGCTGGGAGTTGAAAACAGCCTCACCTGCTTTGTGAATCATTTCTACCCACCTGACATCAAAGTCAGCTGGACTAATAATGGTCATCCGGTGTCAGAGGGGGTGTCACTCAGTCGCTCTCATCCCAATAATGATCAAACCTTCCACCAGTTCTCTACTCTGACATTTACATCGAGGGAGGGGGACATTTACAGCTGCACTGTGGAGCACTCCGACCTGGACAGGCCTAAAATCAGGATCTGGGGTGATTATTTTTAAGTGGCTTAATAACATAAAACAAACATGAAATATTTTGTTCTGCCCTGCGATGGACTGGCAACCTGTCCAGGGTGCATGCCCCATACCTTAATGGAACACTCCTAGGAGAGAAACCATGTGCACCTGCAACTTCTGTTAAATTTATTGATGTTAAAACAAAAGGGAGGAAATCTTGAAAATGTAGTTTTGATAAAGAGATGCATTTGCACACTGTGAAAGAGCCTTATGGTCTGGAGAAACAGCAGATTTAATGCCTTTGTTATTTATCTACTGGTGTTCTTGTTATTGCCTGCAAGTTCAATAGATATTATTTGAAAATTACATTTTAGTCTATTTATTGAAAATATATTTATTTAACTCTTAGTAAATACTATTTAGGTGTACTTTGTGGAAGTACATTGTTAAACAATTACCCTTTTAGTGGGTTAAAAATATATTTATGCCAAACATGCTTCATTGTGTAGGCAACTGCAAAATATTGTAATTATTTATGTAATTTCCACATGTTTCAGCCTGATTGCCAGAAGTATGATTTTTAAAACATATTATTTTAACATTAAAATATATTTTTCAAAAGCATATTATTTCTTATATTTTCTTTTCTTTTAATTTTTTTTTAATCAGAATAAATAGCTAGTTGAGATCAGAGACCTCTTTCATAAGGGTAACCTGGCCTAGAAGGAAGCAGCACATGTTAACTTAACAAACAACAACATATAGAAATAAGCATACTTTAAATCATAATACAGTTATACTTGTTTCAGTTTGTAAACAGTAAACCATAGACTGTATATAAAAATGGACGTAGCGTCCGTGACGTCACCCATTGGTTTCTGAAGTAGAAGGTTTTTTTTTTTTTTTTACGGTCTTATTTCTACATTTTTTTTTTTTTTAATTTTTTTTTTTTTTTTTTTATTGTTATGACACATTAACATACAACACTCTCGTATGGGGAACAAAAAAAGATCACTTGGTACAGATCAAAAACCAGTCTTACAAACACAGGAAATAAATGAAAATAAATGAATAAACAGAAAGGAAAATGGGGGTACAAGTTAGTAAAAGGCTATAGAAAACAAAATAAGGTCTCATTTCGGTGCAGCAATATGGGGAGATTGTTAAAACAATAATTGCTTGGATATATCTCTATATATCTTTCTTGCAATTATACTAGATTTAACATTCTTCAGTGATGAAAAGAACAACTTAAAATTATTTATGAACCACAAAAAGGAAGGCTTAGAAGATTTCCACTTACTACAATGGATATGATATTTACCCATGAGAACCCATCATATTCACCAGATCAGACGAAGGCGGATCTACATTGTCCATATAAAAGAGGATGTGTGACAAATTAAAAGATGGAATATTATCAATCTTAAGTGACAGCCAATTATGTAAATCAGACCAAAAGGTTTTGGACAAGGGACAGGAAAAGAACATGTGTTCCAGAGTCTCCTCAGCAGCCTCACAAAATATACAGGGATTTACTTCAAATTTGAACCTTTTTTTAAGAAAGTCTGCAACCGGATAGATTTTGTAAATTATTTTAAAATGAGTTTCTTTGATTTTAGGGGAAATGGTCCATTTGATGAAATTGAAATGTGGTTTATCTATGGACAAGGTATCCATATTTGGAACCTGTACACACAGCCCTCTGTTATAATCAGAAAAAAGCTTGGATTTAAAAAAAGTACAAATATGTTTGTTATTACATTTTTTATCATGTATGTGACATTTATTAATTACAAGATTGGGTAAGGTTGGTAGCGGTCTTATTCTTGCATACAGTAATGTGTTTTGGATTAGCTGTAGTAATGGTAGTGGTATTGCTTTACGTATCTTTTTATATTCTTTCTGAGTGCAGTTTAGAGTATATTTGTTCAGAAAAGCAGTATGCTCTAAAAACTTACCATTATCGTCTTATATGTCATCAACAAACACAATGCCCTTCTCATACCAATCAGTCTTAAATAATGATTTCCTATTAATTGTAATGACCCTGTTATTCCATAGGGTGGAACCATGGGGAGAAAAATTGTGAGTAAATATCATTTTCCAGTACTGAAGAAGTTGTGGAATTGTGAAAGTTTAACAGGAATCTTGGTCACCTCAAAATCACATTGTAAGAAAAAATCAAGCCCTAAATTCCTAAATATTTTACTTCAGTCTTAACCTTTATTGAAGCAATACTGGAATCATCAGATGAATGAATGGGAAATAGCTCACATTTTTGAATATTAAGAGAAAGTCCTGAAGCTTTAGAGAATATCGAGACCATACTGAGAGCACTATCCACCATAGATTTATTACTTAAAAAGATTACTGTGTCATCCGCAAATTGACTAATTTTAAATTCCTTATCTAAGATTGAAATACCATACAGAGCGGGATTGTTATTTATGAGCATGATAAATAATTGGGTGGCTAAAATAAATAATTTTGGAGAAATCGGGCATCCTTGTCTAATGCCGCGTAGTACCTCGAATCTAGGGGTTATACCAGGATTTAAAGACACAGAGCTATATATGCCATTATATAACAACTTAATAATATTACAAAAGTTGTTTCCAAAACCTAAAAAATGTAACACTTCAAATAGAAAGGCATGTTCGATAGTGTCGAATGCCTTGTAAAAGTCAAGAAATAAAACAAAGGCTTCAGAGTCAATATGGTCTCGAAAATCAAGCATGTCTAGTAACAACCTAGTGTGGTTATGTATGTTTCGACCCCTTACGAAGGCTGATTGACACTCATCAATTATATGTGACAATCCCTCATTCAGCCGATTAGCATAAACAAGTGCCAATAATTTATAATCATTACATAATAAGGTAATTGGTCTCCAATTGTCCAGTAAAAGGTTATCTTTATTAGGCTTGGGAATCAGAGTAATGAGACCATGTTTCATAGTAGGAGAAAGACTTCCGTTTGATATGCAATTTAAGAAGGCATTGTGCAGCAGTTCCCTGATATCGTTCCAGAAGAAAGTCAAAAACAGCTTTATCTAATTCGTCAATTCTTAGTTCTTCTTCCATTAGTTGTTTAAAGTTATCATCCATTTTCTTTTGGAAGCATCGGATTTCTTCTAGTAAAAACCAACAATCTTCCGGAGAAAAATGGCCCCGTTTATAGAGATTACTGTAAAAGGCTTTGATTTTCTCATCTACTTCGTCTTGGTTGTCAATAATAACGTCATTGATAATAAGTTTCTGAATTTTCTTTTTGGTCTGTCTTTGTTTTTCCAAACTGAAGAAATAGGTTGAGTTTTTTTCCCCTTCTTCCATCTAACGGGCCCTTGAACGAATAAATGCCCCCCTGGCTTTCTCCATATATATAATGTCAAGTTGGGATTGAAGGTGTTTTAGTTCCGTCTGTTCTTCCACTGATAGATTAACTTTACAACACAGTTTGTTAATGTTACTAATGATGTCTCTTTGTCTTATCTTTTTGAATTTAGATGATTGCTTACTTGTCCTAATTGCTTTCCTGAAGGAGAAGGGTCCAGCTGCAGCCCGCAGACAAACGTGACGGAAGTTGACGGAAGTTGAACTTCCATATATGGGTTGTCCCAGAAGCCACCGCGCACAAAACGTGATGACGTTTATCTCGACCGTTAAAAAAAGAGGTGTCAAGTACGTTATGTGTTAATATTTACTATACTATACTTATATATTATTAATATAGTATATTTATACTATAATTCCTGCAAATACTTATTTATAATAGCCTAATGATAATAATAAGGCAATGTTTCAATTCATACCACTGTTGTATATTTTATTTCTTCCAAAGTGATTTTAAGTTTCACAAACCAAGAACATTCTGTAATGTTGCATCACGAGCCAGATGTGTCTCGATTTAGGTTAAAACTTAACATTACTGAGAATTTATTGACAGAATAACAGTGGTACGAACATCATCAGCTGTTGCTGGACTCATCTACTGTGTTGGCTGCAGTGGTCTGTGTGACTGGGCCTGGGGGAGCTAAACGTAGCTAGCTACCTATTCCTGACCGCCCCCCGAAGTATATTCCTCTTACCCCAACCAGGGTACGTGCCTACAGTTATCGATTATATGCATGTCGACCGGTTAACCTCCGTTGTGTTGCTGTGCAGCCTCCGGTAACGTTACTGCAGCTATATAACACCCGTCGGCACTATGGTCAGCACTTGCGGAGCTTCTCAACTCCGAAAACGTTTGAACACATTTTCGATTCGCTGCCAATTTTCATAAAACTGCCGATCTTCGACATCTATACAGTTGATTTCTCGCCTAAAAACTTCTCAGAAGTGTATTTAAAGTTCTGTTGTTGGCTTCTAAAGAATAAAACGGTTTGCATTAGGATCAGGGTCTATCATGTACGTGAGCCGAGATGAACGTCATCACGTTTTGTGCGCAGTGTCTCCTGGGACAAACCATATTTGGAAGGTCAACTTCCGTCACGGTCTGCGCAGTAAACACATGTAAACACATTTCACCAGGGGTGAAATGTGCCCTCCCGCCCAGCCCACTAGCGCAGTGCATTCAGTTGGACCAATCAGAATCAAGCTTTTCAAATCGACGACCCAATCACACAGCGTGAAAGTCCCCTTCACGAAAGTTATCGTGTGCACTATCGTTGAGAGAGGGAAGCTATTTCTGGCAAGAAATCATTTTGTTTCTCAGGTTTCCTTTGTTTTACTTTACCGACTCGGACTTGGCGAAGGTGGACACCACAGACATAATAAGAAAAGAACACAGAAGAGAAGAATATCCGGTCAGCTCCCTGCAGAAGTTAAATGTGAAAAGAGCTAAAGAGGCGTGACTGGCAAGTTACAAGCAGGAGAGGACAGAGACTGCCGGCAAAAATCGTCTTTGTTGGTAAGTTTATTATTGTTAGCAAGACAACACAATCGTGTAAGTTAACTAAAGTTGAGCTCACTCTGGGTTTGGAAATATTTTCCTTAGTGGATAGCTCTGGTGTGCATTAGCTAATGCTAGCACGTGGATTAATATATTTGTTAACGTTAGCTAACATTAGTTAGCATTTCAATAGCTTCATAATGGAGACAGCGACTTTCGTCTGCCTTAAACAGTGTTGGGAGTAACGCGTTACAAAAGAAACGCAATTAACGTTACAGTAATGTATTGCTATTTGCTGTACAGCAGTTTTTAATGTTACTAAAATTTCGGGAACAATCAACAATCTCATTAACCTGTTGCTGGAATTTGATGCATGAGATTTTAACAAGGCAGGCCTGTGCATGTGTGTGTATGAGCCCTCAATTCTGCTTTTGCACGGTTAAAATGACCAGTGAGGTCTTTATCAGAGTAATAAATGCAACAAATGTGTTGCTGTCTGTGTGCTAAAGAATAGGTTCACATTTTTCGTCTTTACAGGAAGTTATTGGTCACTGTAATCATTATTCCTGCCCATAAAGTCTGTAAAGACATCACCACAGTTGTCATTTTTGTATAAATTCATTCTAAAGTTTAGCTTACTTATAATTATATATATATATATATATATAATTTATTTATAAGTTATTTGAATCATCAGCTAAGCATCTGTGTTAGACTATTCAAAAGTGGATAACTTCTAAAGGTACACTGTTTTTTAGAGATTTCACTTCACTGAAGGTGTAATCATTACAGTGACCAATAACTCAGTTATAACAGCAATGTTAAAGTGTACACGGGTATGTGAGAATTGTTTTAAGACTGCTTAAAATGATGTTTTTATGTACTGCAATGCCTGAACATATGATATAATAGCTTGTGATGTTATGTATGTTGATGTTAAGTACTGCTCAACTTTCCATTTGTATGGTCATAGATCCTGTATTCAACTTTTAAAAGTTGAACCTACCCTTTGCCAACTTTAACCAACTTAATGCTAAATCCAGAGTTGGAATTTCCTGCCTTAGATCAAATAAAAAAAATTAAATAAAGAACAATAATAAAGATTTGCTATAATAATAGAATTACAGTGTTTATAATGATACGCAAATGAAGAACTAAACTAGGTGGAAGTACTGGCCTAATATTTATTATATCTCATTTGCAACAGCATTTCTTTTCTTTTAGAGCTTCCTGGGATCGTTGCCTCACTCAGGTGGCTCAGAGGCCACGAAAATCTCAAAGGACCAGCTGGACCCTCACAAGCTCAATGTGCTCATAGGTATGTCTGGCTCCTGCACACGAACCTTACTCTCAATACATGTCAGCGGGGTCAGACTAAATAAATATTCTTGTGAAAAAATTTTATTTAAAATATTGTTATACATTAAGTAATTGGCTACTTTTGTACTTCACAAATTGACTGCTGTGTTAATGTGAAATGACATGTAGACAGAACAGTTGTGAAGCAAGTCTGTATGTTTGTGTTATTTGTTGTACCTGTTTAATAACATTTTATCATATACAGCTCCTTGGCTGAATGCACAGTAGTGTTTATGTAATGTTTTTGATTATGTTGTAATGGAAGAACTGAGCATTTACTGGGACAGGTCCCTTGTGGAAAACCATTTCACCTCAGTGTTTCCCACACATAGGCTTTACTTGGGCCAGGTAGATTAACAGCCGCCCAAGCAAATTTGGCAACCCATTTTAATTGCAGTGCTGCACAGCACATATTCGCTCCCTTCACTCGGTCGCTCCCTCTCTCTCTACTGCATGCAAACAACCCGTCTGTGAATTGAATGGTTGGTATCATGAACACCACTGCACACTTTAAAAAAGTTATTAGCGAGCATTTAAGGAGCCTAGCCAATAAGGAGAGCTATGTTAACTTTAGAATGGGCCTACAGCTGTCGAAGATAGCACGCTATTCATTACTGGTAGTCAATAGGTGCGTTCAAGGTGACTGCGGCTGACTTTTGCCGATTTGATAGACTAGTCTAATGTGAGATGCAGGCGACTGAGGGGGCGGAGTATAAAAACAGCGCCGTCAGGTGGACTGCGTGAGCTTAGAACAATGATCAAACCAGACTCGGCGCCTGCCACCGCCTTGCTCCAGAGAGGTAATGTTATGTCATGATGATGTGACATCATGGTGACGTTTTGCAGCGCCAGGTGTTGTGACGAACTCTGCCTGCTGAGAATTAGATGCACCACGCGTGTGGTAACGCCATTTATGCTGAGAAAAGAGGTGGACTCAAATCTCGGCAGGTAAATTAGCCTACATCATCTGTTCTGCCTAATTATGCATCCACCTGTATAGGACCTTTTAAGACTCTTTACTGTGCTCATTGATCAACGTCGGTTATCACCACATATTTATTGCTAAATCTCAAGGAATGCTGCTTCTACTAACTGTAGATAATAAAATATCAACAGCTCTAAACTACTCTAAATGTTCTTGAAATATTTCAAATCATTTACCCCACAAAGAAAATTATAGCGTTTAAAAACAGTATTTGGAAGTGCATGCAATTCCCGGCAGGCAAGCGAAATTCGGCATATCACCTTTTAAAGTTGCCACAATTACGCTTTCATTCTGTGGGAAACACTACACCTGAACCTAAACAGTTAGCATCAGAACAGTTAGACATGATGTCATATTGTGTTTCAGCAACTTTAAACAAAATAAAAAATCTGACAATGGTTCATTAATTAGAGGTAATATTGCTTTGGTTATAGACAAAATATTTCCTTTTCCCTTCCACAGATGCTGTGTGATAAAGCAGTTTTTCCAAATCCCATAGAGTCACTGCAACAAGTCCTACTCAAAGACCCTCCACTCCAAGGATAAGGATGGTGCCATTTTTCAGTTTCAGTTTAGTTCCACCATTTGTACTATATGCTTGTGACGGAGTACCTTCACTACAGTTGAGTAAGCGCTTGGACTGCCATACCAACGAGCCTGGCTCTTTGGCGTTGCTGCCAAAGTTGCATGTTTGGCATGCTGTAGACCTGTGTTTGAATCTGGGTAGGGTGACTGCTCTCGCCTTTGGCCGCATATGGTGTCAGAAGTAGGATGGCTTGCCGTGAGGTCATCTGAGCCGTGCCCAGAGTCCAAACCGCATGAGGGACCTCCATGGGTAACATTAATGATGGGATGTGTATAGTGTACTTCAGTAATACTGATCATATGTCATCATTTTACTGATTTTATTTTTATTTGAAGATATTTTGGTCAAGATGTGATACATGCTGCTGTACCTTTTAATGTACAGGAAGTTATTTTTGTAAGATACACAAAATTAAAGTTTTTTAGTTGTCTGTATGTGTGTGTGTTGTAAAATACTTTTTTTTTTACTGGTTTTTATTATTATGCTAAAAGGACATTTTGCAAGATATTTTTAATTCATTAATAATGCATTATTCTCATACTGAATGGTTTCATAAAGCAGCTTCCCAAGATATTAATAGTGGCTCTTGGAGTATACTAGTAATAAATTACTAATATGCTGAAATGCTAATAAAAATGTTCAGGGAACACATTTAAAATATATTTAAACTGTTCTTCAAGTATAGCACAAAAGGGTATTTTAAGTTAAATTTAGTATAGTTATATTTAAATTACACTAAATGGTCCATTTTAACACAAATAAGTATATTAAAATACATTGCAATTATCTTAAAGTTGACTTTAAGTATTTCTAAAATGACACTTAACATACTTTAAGTTGTTCCAAAATAACACATTTTATATACACTTAGTATAGTACAATTAAAATATAAATTACATCCAAAACAAATGCTACTTAAGTATTTTTCTTTTTCACTTGGGAGGACACAACATCAAACTACAAACTGACTCCTCAACCATCACTCCAACCAGGGTGGTGAGAAACTTGGGTGTTGTGATTGATGACCAGCTGAACTAAGTAAATGTACTTAGTTACTTTGTACTGCTGTGCTTAACAAGAACACCATCATATTTAAAATGTAATTTTAAATATATCTACTTATTTTGCCACAAGTTTTATTGAACAATGAGGTTATCTGTTCTGGTTATGTTGATATTGCACAATTCCATATCAACCAACAGTGAACAGATTTATTTGATCTGTTCATTGATCTATAACTTATTCATATATAATGTACTTCACAAATCCTTAAGTCCCTATTATTGGTTGTAAAAAGCATCCACTGCACAGTAAACAATCTTCATTGATTTGTTTATTTATAGTGTTCTTTTACAGCTTCACTCAAATGAATATAGTGATAGCAGGCTCAAGCATCACAAATCATGTACATTTAAATAATATAAGAATATAAAGCACCTGTATGTATTAACTTTGTGTTCCTAATAGGAAGTGGCAAAACAGAAGCAAACAAACAGTATGTGACATGGCAATTTTTGAACAAGTGACAGTGTGATAACCCAGAAGCTCTCCCCTGACTGTACATTGCTAATATATTGCCCCATTATCATATAAAGGCAGAGAACTGGAAGGCAGACAGAAACAACAGTAAATAAAAAATAAAGGCATTAAATTTAATATTTATTCAGACCATCAGGCTTTTTCACACTCTTTAAAAATTTTAATTATTGAATTCCCTTCCTTTTGTACTCACTATATTAAAGCCAAAAAATTCAACCTAAGTTGCAGTTGCACATGGCTTCTCTCCTTGGAGTTTTTCATTAAGGTATGGCGGATCATTCTATTTCTAATGACCATTTTACGTGTAATTTCATCTGGCAAATGTGACTAGAGAATGTGCCCATGAAAATGCCAATAAAGTTTCCACAACTCCTGTAAGGCAAAATAAAGGGTCAGACGGTTATAGATGTTGCACTCCATAATCATAGTGTTTTTTTTATAATTCATTAAGTATGAATACAACACCATATTCATTTTCAAAAACTGCCATATTCAGCAATAGAGAAATTATTGTCCATGGTGTCCTTTTGCAATTAAAAATACTCCAACTGCAATTCCCATCAAGCCCAGAGTCAAGCCCACTCCACAGAAAATATCTGGTCCAAGACTGGGTTGATTCAAGTCAAGCTCTGTGGAGGAAGTTGGAAAGCATAAGCATCATTAATATTAGAACAAAAAATTTTATATTTATTTTTAAGTGGCTTAATAAATTAAAACAATCACCCCAGATCCTGGTTTTAGGCCATTCCAGGGCTGAGTGCTCCACAGTGCAGCTATAAATGTCCCCCTCCCTTGGTGTAAAAGCCAGAGTAGAGAACTGGTGGAAGGTTTGATCGTCATTGGGATGATAGCGACTGAGTGACACCCCTTCTGACACTGGACGACCATTTTTAGTCCAGCTGACTTTGATGTCAGGCGGGTAGAAATGATTCACAAAGCAGGTGAGGCTGTTTTCAACTCCCAGCTGAGCTTCTTCTGCAGGGTAGAGGATGCTCTCTGGGGGGTCTTTAGTGGGTCAGAAGACAATTGAAAAACATCAGCATTTTATCAATCATGTTTACAGAGATAAATGTTGAGGTTAACTTACTTTTTTCTTCTGGTGGAATTTTCGCTATCTCTGCACCGATTACAGTAAAAAATGAACAGAAGTCCTTATTTTCCAGAGCATCTCTAAGTATACTCAAACCCACCAAAATTTGACTTGGATCAGGATTAATAAATCTGGGCACAGTGTAGATAATCTCCTCTTTCGGGAAATCCACATATAAAATCTCCTCACCATCAAACTCAAACTGTACCTCAGCTGTGCCATTCACAAAGCAGCCCACAAAATAGATGATTTCATGAGGAACTGAAAAACAATACAATGGAAATAAAGATTATAATACTGCATGTAAATGGTCCTACCATTACAAAGTGCTACAGCTTCTGTTTATGCTTTCTTTCAGGCAATTGTGTTCTTGATATACAGAAACTGACAACACTCAAGAATACCCCATATTTTTGTGTTCCCACAATATTACCATTAATGTTAGAAACTACATCTAAAGTCTATTAAATTTAAATATCATTCTTACTTTCTGAGAAGGCACAGAAGCTGTTGAGCATCAGGATTATGAGAGCAGAGCACTTCATATCTGAGCTGCAGATCTTCACTGTACTATCAGTCTGAACTGAGGAACATGTTGTATCTTGTCGATAAGGAAACTCACAATCAATCACATGACCAAATCAGGTGCAAAACTTGAGCAAAATAAAAAAGTAACCAGAGAAAAACCGAACTCTTTATAGAGAAGAGAACTTTCCCAGCTTCCGTGTTATGTGAATGCGGATGTTTAATTAGCAGTCTAACCTGTTTTGCAGCTAAGGCTATTATCTGTTCATACAAAAACGGCGGTGGCAGCTCCAGAAACCGCCCACGTCCTCTCTGACACGAAAGCGGATGCAAAAAGTACCAACGACGAGAGTGGGAGAAACCAAATAGCCTTCTTGATATGAGTATCAAGCCAAACTACACAGTTTGTCTGCCAGTGTTCTGTGTGGTGCACGGTGGCCTGTCAGACGTGTGACAGCATGCCAAGGCAGTGTAATTACTTAATAAAACGTGGCTACTATTTTCTGATTGATCACGCTGGATTTCATATGCTGCCTATTTTTTAAGAATTATGGTAACAATGTAAATGAAGCACATGCACACATTATGGTATGATTTGTTTTTTAAGGTTGAGATACAGTCAGACACATAGGCCCTAAGGATTAATTTAGAGATAAGAGAGAGATATATGTCACAGTTGGTTCTGTGGGCGTGTGTGGGTGTGTCTTACACATGGCAGGGAGCTGATCACCTGGCGAGGATACACACCTGTTGCCAATCCTCATCCACGCCTGGCCTTAAATTGTGGGGCTCCCTGAGACTCATTGCCAGATTATTCCTAGCCATCACATTGTTGAGTACTTCAGGCCTGTTTCCTTACTTGAGCATTGAGTTTGTTTCTAGTGTGTTCTCTGCCTGGACCTGGATTAACATTCTTTTGTCTTTCTCCTTTTTCAAGTTACCTGCATCCGGTGTGTTTTTTGTCCTGCTTGGAGGATCTTTAGGAGTGCTGATTGCCACTGCCCAGGAAGGCCTGCCCCTGCTCACATCTCGCCAACTACCACACTGTACAACTAGTTACTTTTTTGTAAATAAATTCTTTACTTTAACTGGCTTTGAGTGTTCTGTGTCTGCACCCCGGTCCTCAGTCTTATGAAACTTAATACACATATACAGATATAGGCTACTTAATACACTTAATTATTAAAATACAGTGCCAATGTGTGTTATGCTTAACCAATCTATAGAATTGCATGATTCAATACTGTAGAATTAACAATAGGCTGAATAAAAACTGAAAAATATATTTACTGACCAATCATAAAAATGGTGTTGATTTAAATTGAGAAATGTTTGTAGATAGATTATTTTTGTGTGGTTTCATTGTTTGGATAGTATTACTACAAACAATGACAAATATTTTAACCCAAATCTGTGTTAACACCTCCCTTTACAATTGAACAAGAACAGGTGCTCTGTGAGCTCATTAGGAGTGAGCTTTTTCTGTTTATAGTTTTACTGCAGCAGTCTGAAAGACAAACAGCTACTCAGTGCTGCACCAGTAGTGTACTTTTACAAAAAACATTTACAAAAGGAAGTAGGCCTAACATGCTCCAATACTGCACACAAGGCCTACTACTATGTTCATGATGTTCATGGTAAATCCTTTGCAAATGTCTTTTCAATCAAATCATATCAAAGCATTTGTTATACCAGTGGCGGCTCAGATTTGGGAGTTGTGGGCATACTCGATCCAGGGAACGTGGGAACTCCAGGAGGTGGGGCTGCGGTATGCTACACACCTGAGCGCTGCTCCCAGGTCCTGGTTGGCTCGCTCGGTCTGCCCGTTGGTCTGGGGGTGATAACCGGAGGAGAGGCTAGCGGTGGCGCCGAACGCGTGGCAGAAGGGCTTCCAGACTTGCGAGGTGTATTGGGGGCCCCGGTCAGAAACTATGTCCAGGGGGATGCCGTGGAGGCGGAAAACATGGTCTATGAGAAGGCGAGCAGTCTCCAGAGAGGTGGGGAGTTTGTCCATGTCCTTGTCCATGGCGGGCCACCAGAACCGCTGGCGGAGCAAGAAGAGGGTGCAAGCCATCCCTGGGTGGCAGCTGAACTTGGAGGCGTGCGCCCATTGGAGGACCCGGGAGTGGATACTCGAGGGGACGTAGAGGCGGTTAGGGGGACCGGTACCGGGATCCGGGTCGGTGGACTGGGCGCGGCGAACGGCTGATTCCACTTCCCAGACTACGGAGGCAACAAGGCAGGCACGAGGTAGGATGGTGTCGGGGTGGTCAGAGGGGGTGTCTGGGGAGTGAAGGCGGGAGATCGCGTCTGGTTTGGTGTTGCGGGACCCGAGGGTGAAGTTAAACCGGTTGAAAAACAGGGCCCACCGGGCTTGGCGGGAATTCAGTCTTTTGGCGGTCTGGATGTAAGAAAGGTTCTTGTGGTCAGTGAGGACTAGGAAGGGGTGCTCAGCCCCCTCAAGCCTGTGCCTCCACTCTTCCAGAGCCAGTTTGATAGTGAGTAATTCTGCTCCGTCTGTGGGGGAGCGCTGGGATAGACAGGCGCCTACGCCCACGTCTGAGGCGTCCACCTCAACCACGAACTGAAGGGAAGGGTCGGGGTTGGTGAGGATGGGGGCTGAGGTTAACAGGGTCTTGAGGCGGGAGAAGGCTGCAGCGGCCTCTGGAGACCAGATGAACGGGACCGAGGAGGAGGTGAGGTGGGTGAGGGGGGCGGCAACGGTACTGAAGTTGCGGATGACTCGACGGTAGAAGTTCGTGAAGCCGAGAAAGCGCTGTACCTGTTTAACGGAGGTGGGGGTTGGCCAATCTGCAACAGCCTGAATCTTAGATGGGTCAGCACGGAGGTGCCCTCCCTGTTTTTGAAGCATATCTTTTAGAGTGGCATCTATTTTTGCTTCTTTTGTCTCATTGTTACAACTTACCCCAGCATGTGTTACAACCTACCCCAGTATTGGAGTAGTTTGTAACAAGGGAACACAATGCATTTGACATCAACTCATGAGGTCTATGATATTCTTGTAGAGGACTGAATTGGTGATTCTTGTTATAAACCCCAGATGTCAGCAATACAAAGTAATTAGTACAAGTCCTCATGGATGTCAATTGAAGGTACATGAGGTACTTACAGTTGCTGGTCATATAATTAGACTATCATCAAGTTGATTTATTTCAGTAATTCCACTCAAAAAGTGAAACTTGCATATTGTATACATTCATTCCACACAGACTGATATATTTCAAGTGTTTATTCTCAGAAAATTAAAATATTGTGAAAAGGTTCAATATTGAAGACACCTGGTGCTACACTCTAATCAGCTAATTAACTCAAAACACCTGCAAAGGCCTTTAAATGGTCTCTCAGTCTAGTTCTGTAGGCTACACAATCATGGGGAAGACTGCTGACTTGACAGCTGTCCAAAAGACGACCATTGACACCTTGCACAAGGAGGGCAAGACACAAAAGGTTGTTGCTAAAGAGGCTGGCTGTTCACAGAGCTCTGTGTCCAAGCACATTAATAGAGAGGCGAAGGGAAGGAAAAGATGTGGTAGAAAAAAGTGTACAAGCAATAGGGATAACCGCACCCTGGAGAGGATTGTGAAACTAAACCCATTCAAAAATGTGGGGGATATTCACAAAGAGTGGACTGCAGCTGGAGTCAGTGCTTCAAGAACCACCACGCACAGACATATGCAAGACATGGGTTTCAGCTGTCGCATTCCTTGTGTCAAGCCACTCTTGAACAAGACACAGCGTCAGAAGCGTCTCGCCTGGGCTAAAGACAAAAAGGACTGGACTGCTGCTAAGTGGTCCAAAGTTATGTTCTCTGAGGAAAGTAAATTTTGGAAATCAAGGTCCCAGAGTCTGGAGGAAGAGAGGAGAGGCACAGAATCCACGTTGCTTGAAGTCCAGTGTAAAGTTTCCACAGTCAGTGATGGTTTGGGGTGCTATGTCATCTGCTGGTGTTGGTCCACTGTGTTTTCTGAGGTCCAAGATCAACGCAGCCGTCTACCAGGAAGTTTTAGAGCACTTCATGCTTCCTGCTGCTGACCAACTTTATGGAGATGCAGATTTCATTTTCCAACAGGACTTGGCACCTGCACACAGTGCCAAAGCTACCAGTACCTGGTTTAAGGACCATGGTATCCCTGTTCTTAATTGGCCAGCAAACTCGCCTGACCTTAACCCTATAGAAAATCTATGGGGTATTGTGAATAGGAAGATGCGATACGCCAGACCCAACAATGCAGAAGAGCTGAAGGCCACTATCAGAGCAACCTGGGCTCTCATAACACCTGAGCAGTGCCACAGACTGATGGACTTCATGCCACGCCGCATTGCTGCAGTAATTCAGGCAAAAGGAGCCCCAACTAAGTACTGAGTGCTGTACATGCTCATACTTTTCATGTTCATACTGTTCAGTTGGCCAACATTTCTAAAAATCCTTTTTTTGTATTGGTCTTAAGTAATATTCTAATTTTCGGAGATACTGAATTTGGGATTTTCATTAGTTGTCAGTTTTAATCATCATAATTAAATGAAATAAACACTTGAAATATATCAGTCTGTGTGTAATGAATGAATATAATATCCAAGTTTCACTTTTTGAATGGAATTACTGAAATAAATCAACTTTTTGATGATATTCTAATTATAGTATATAGTAGAGCGTCTGGTTTAGTGTTGCAGGTGTCGGTTCTATATGTCAGAGTGAAATTAAACCTTCCAAGAAACAGGGCCAACTGAGCCTGGCGGGAATTTAGCTGTTTAGCTGAACAGAGATAGGCCAAGTTTTTGTGATCAGTCCACACAAGGAATGGCTGCTCCACTCCCTCCAGCAAATGTCTCCACTCCTCCAATGACAGACACTGGGAGAAAAAGGCCCAGGGATGCAGCTTGTTGTCCGGAGGGGACCGCTGTGAGAGGACAGCTCCCACTCCAGTGTCTGAGGCATCCACCTCCACAATAAACTAAAGAGAAAAGTCTGGGTGGAGAAGAAAACATTTGCTTGAGCCTAGTGAATGCCATATTTACGTTGGGACTCCAGGTGAAGGGTACAAAGGGAGAGGTGAGTTGGGTGAGTGGGGCAGCAACTTTACTGTAATCACGTTAACCAGGAAGCAGGGGTCAGCCACTCTGTCACCGCCTTGATCTTGTTGGGATCTGGTCTCAGCTGTCCTTACTCCATGATGAAACCCAAGAAACTCACAGAAGGGGCATGAAATTCATATTTCTC